GTAGTTCATGTTTCCTTTGTACTATGGATGTATAGCGTAGTAAATGTTTCCTTTGTACTGTGGATGTATAGCGTAGTACATGTTTCCTTTGTACTATGGATGTATAGCGTAGTAAATGTTTCCTTTGTACTGTGGATGTATAGTGTAGTACATGTTTCCTTTGTACTATGGATGTATAGCGTAGTACTATGTATGTATAGTATAGTACTATGGATGTATAGCGTAGTACTATGTATGTATAGTGTAGTACTTTGGATGTATAGCATAGTACTATGTATGTATAGTGTAGTACTATGGATGTATAGCGTAGTACTATGGATGTATAGCATAGTACTATGGATGTATAGTGAAGTACATGTTTCCTTTGTACTATGGATATATAGCGTAGTACTATGGATGTATAGTGTAGTACTATGGATGTATAGTGTAGTACATGTTTCCTTTGTACTATGGATGTATAGCATAGTTCATGGATGTATAGCGTAGTACTATGGATGTATAGCCTAGTACTATGGATGTATAACCTAGTACTATGTATGTATAGCCTAGTACTATGGATGTATAGCCTAGTATTATGGATGTATAGCCTAGTACTATGGATGTACAGCCTAGTACTATGGATGTATAGCCTAGTACAATGGATGTATAACCTAGTACTATGTATGTATAGCCTAGTACTATGGATGTATAGCCTAGTAATATGGATGTATAGCCTAGTACTATGGATGTACAGCCTAGTACTATGGATGTATAGCCTAGTATTATGGATGTATAGCCTAGTACTATGGATGTACAGCCTAGTACTATGGATGTATAGCCTAGTACAATGGATGTATAACCTAGTACTATGTATGTATAGCCTAGTACTATGGATGTATAGCCTAGTAATATGGATGTATAGCCTAGTACTATGGATGTATAGCCTAGTGCTATGGATGTATAGCCTAGTACTATGGATGTACAGCCTAGTACTATGGATGTATAGCCTAGTATTATGGATGTATAGCCTAGTACTATGGATGTACAGCCTAGTACTATGGATGTATAGCCTAGTAATATGGATGTATAGCCTAGTACTATGGATGTATAGCTTAGTACTATGGATGTATAACCTAGTACTATGTATGTATAGCCTAGTACTATGGATGTATAATCTAGTACTATGGATGTATAGCCTAGTACTGTGGATGTATAACCTAGTACTATGGATGTATAGCCTAGTACCATGGATGTATAGCCTAGTACTATGGATGTATAGTGTAGTACTATGGCTGTATAGCGTAGTACTATGGATGTATAACCTAGTACTATGTATGTATAGCCTAGTACTATGGATGTATAGCCTAGTACTCTGGATGTATAACCTAGTACTATGGATGTATAGTGTAGTACTATGGATGTATTGCGTAGTACCATGGATGTATAGCCTAGTACTATGGATGTACAGCCTAGTACTATGGATGTATAGCCTAGTAATATGGATGTATAGCCTAGTACTATGGATGTATACCCTAGTACTATGGATGTATAGCCTAGTACAATGGATGTATAACCTAGTACTATGTATGTATAGCCTAGTACTATGGATGTATAGCCTAGTAATATGGATGTATAGCCTAGTACTATGGATGTACAGCCTAGTACTATGGATGTATAGCCTAGTAATATGGATGTATAGCCTAGTACTATGGATGTTTAGCCTAGTACTATGGATGTATAACCTAGTTCATGTTTCCTTTGTACTATGGATGTATAGCGTAGTACATGTTTCCTTTGTACTATGGATGTATAGCGTAGTACTATGGATGTATAGTGTAGTACTATGGATGGATAGCGTAGTACTATGGATGTATAGCCTAGTACTATGGATGTTTAGCCTTGATCTATTGATGTATAGCGTAGTACATATATCCTTTGTACTATGGATGTATAGCGTTGTGCATGTTTCCTTGTACTATGGATGTGCAAAAGTTTTGCCCTCTTATAGTGATTTTTTCGTTCGTCCACTTTGTGGTTCCGTCTTGACTTAACTTCAGCTGGCTACAGGTCAATGAATGACAACTCATTTTATAAAGTTCTACAATTTATTATGTACCAAATGAAACAGTGAAGTAAACTAGATGAAACATGATAAATAGATATGCACAATGCTACAGCACGTCAACCACTCGACTGGTCCGTACTAAAACAGTATACCGTGTAACATATGTCCTCTCAACACACCCCGATAATATATTACAACATGCCTACAACGGGAAAATAACCAACCCAAATTAACACCGAGATAATTCTACCCAAACATGCCTACAATGGGAAAATACCACCCAGCCCGGAATAATTTTTAGGTCTAAGGCCGAAATACACTCCTACATACCTGCTCGTAAGAAGGGTAAAGACGAGCCGGCCAGCTACATGTAAGCCTCTGCCAGACTGATTTACAATACCAAAAACACCCAGCTATATAGCCAAATTTAATTGTATGCCTTGAAATGCACGTGCCATGTAGTATTTGAAATACACGTGCAATGTAGTATTTGAACTCGATACATACCCATACCTAAGCGTAGAGTGCTGTACAGGTAAGGGAACATATCCTAAAAATATTAACCAATCAGAAACGTCTAAATAATATACCGGAAGGGAATCCCCAACGGGAATACCCCAGGTACACGCACTCCGGTACACGAAACGTAAATACGGAAATATATACAACAAGTAAGTGTTCAAAACCAAATCCTTTTACAGATGTATAGCGTAGTACATGTTTCCTTTGTACTATGGATGCTTTAAAACAAACGTTTGATCTCCACCTTAATGCTTTATACTAGTTTCATGTACTAGTAAGCATAGGTATAGCTATAACATATAGGCAGGCACCATCAAGCCACTCACCACGCTTGACATTGCAGAGCATGACCATGGGGGTTATACTGCATCACTGGAGCAACTAGCTTACAAATAAGGTAGTATTTACCCCTCTTTTCCTTTGGCTTCTATAAACTTGACCTGGGGAATCCCATAGGTCCCCAGCCACCTGGAACTGGCCATACATGATACCAAATGGTCACTATGCTGCCACCAGATCTTACCTGCAGGTGAGCACCCATCCAGCTACTGACCACGCTCAACATTGTAGATCATATCCTGCATCACTGGGAAAAGCTAGCTTGCCATTATGGCAGTATTTTCTCCTCTTATTCCTTGGTTTCTATATAACATTGGCATAGGAAGTTATCAAAACAGAGCCCCAATATTGCCTTCTGTTTGAATTAGTTCAGGGATCTTTTGAGAAATTTTGAAACATGTTGAGATAAAAAAAAATCTGTGTTGTGTTAAATTTCCAAAAAACAATGAGGTGCCCCTAAACCCTAAACCGTTGGTCCCTGCATATTTGCTGTAATGAAATGTGCTTCGATTCATAGTAATAGGNCCTACCCCATTCCCCCCTCCCCCCACTACGCATTTCAAAAAAATGAAATTTCAAGATTATCTGGTGTTTAGTTTTTATTGTTTTCTGAGTATTTCCAGGATAACATTTTTACATTTTTTCTTTGACCTTTTGTTATTTAACCGTGTAAGTATACATTAAAGCGTCTAACATTAGTAGCTTGTATTAGAACTTGCAGCTATTTATCTCGTACCATGATGTACCGAGGGCTGGTACCATTGTTTATTACCAACCAGAGTGAGATAATAAATTCTATTCAATGTTGTGGGTTTTATTTTGAATTAGCATAGTGGAGTGAGCCAAAGAAAAAGTTTCAGGATTGTAAAATATAGATGGGGAAAATTAATAAAAATAGTGGATAAGATAAAACAAAGTGAATTTGATGCTTCAGTGTTTTTATTTTGCCTTCCCAATCAAGAAATGCCATGCTCCCCTCTCCCCTTTCCAGTTTAGAATGTAAAAAATATCAGTATTTGACAAAATGGTACTTGATAATATGGTTAGTTATTTCAGTAAGCTATCATTTTCAAATGTCGGACCAGCATAGCAATAACATAGTGTTCTAAGGCAGAGGTTTAAGAAATGCAAATTCCAAAAAACGATTGATTTTTTTGCTTCCTTAGCATCGGAAGATAATATTCACAAAAGTCTTAGTATATTGTCAGATTGATTCAACATATGATTTAAAAATATAAATGCCTAAGGTTAGAACCACCAGGGACTGGTAATATTATATCAACCTTTTAACAGTCATTATTAGAATCACCAGGGACAGGTAATATTATATCAACCTTTTAACAGTCATTATTAGAACCACCAGGGACTGGTAATATTATATCACCCTTTTAACAGTCATTATTAGAACCACCAGAGACTGGTAATATTATATCCCCCTTTTAACAGTCATTATTAGAACCATCAGGGACTGGTAATATTACATCACCCTTTTAACAGTCATTATTGGAACCACCAGGGACTGGTAATATTATATCAACCTTTTTACACTGCACTTCTATAGTTATAAACCCTCACACCTCCTTACAGGACAGCAAGCTCTGTTTACTCAGAGAAAATGACACAACAAGGTATTGGCGGAACATGGCTCATCTCTTGGATGGCCGAAAGTTTATTTAACATATTTTAGGATTAAAATATTTTCAGATATCATTTTTTATGAGTAAAGTTGCGGCCTATAAATTAAGCGCCACTAGACATTATAGAAGTGAAACAACATAGAAACATCTTAACATATATAATCTGAAAAGGGGGTGCGGTGGGAGGGTTAGAAAACTTTTGCCGTATAAAAGGTCAAATTACTTGTATCTTTTGTTTATCGTTAAGAAAATCAAAGATGGCGTGCGGTTGCAAATTTTTCTTTCCCCCTGTGGGGTTCACCTGCTGAAACAGGGGTCAGCTATCACGTGGTTTAGACTTGACCAATGAAATTGTATACCAAAATTAAACACCGGGAAATTCAAATAATATATTGCACATGAATATATACGTTTGTGAAAAAAGATGTCTATTAATTGCTAGACTTTTATTTTTACAGTCATTCAAGGGATTACCAGTCGCAGACACAAGATAAAGAATTGTGATGTCAGGGTCGAGAGGCTACCTAAGAATGTAAGTATCACACTTGTGTAGTTTGTGACACCCTTGTGAAACACATAAAAAACAAAACAACACAGGCTCAAATCACAACCATTACTGCTGGTTTCTTATCATTTACAGCAAGGTGTGATATACTGTAGTCTATGGAAACCAGTGTATTATTCATTGGATTATAGTAAAAGTATAGTTTTGTGGAAGAGAAACACATTTCTATTGTGAAATTGAACAGCTGAAATTTAAACTGCCATTGAGGAAGTGTCAATTGATACATGACCCTGTGTTTTGATTTAGATATTTTCCAAGGTCTCGGTGGAGTTAGAACCAGAAATAACACAAATGTTGGACCAAAACTCGTCCTATCTCGAAGTCCTTCAGTTTGATGGAGAGTTAGATGTGAACTTTGACCCTGATTCTATGAACTACATTATGATTGGAAACTGGTACCAAGTGGAATGGGCTTGGAATTATTTGGAATCTGTTTCCAAAGAGACCACTACTCATGGATGCCTCAGCCAAAGTGACGATCACCAAAACAAAAGTAACATGCTGTCATCAACTACACCTAATATCCCTTCAGGCAGAGGCAGCAGTAGAGCTAGTTCATCAGAATCTGTTCAAAAGAACTTTCCTGACACTACAAGGAAACAGAGCAACATAGCATGGAATATCAAACGTCAAGAGGAGACAAATATTTCTGTCCCTTATCAACCATTTAAGTCAAATATACCACAGACAGTAGACAGATTGGAGCAAAGGTATAAGGCTGAACATTTCCAGGGCACTAAAAGATCAGAGGTATTCCAAATAGGTGGCACTAACCAGAAGAAGATGATTGGTACGTCAGATGCACACATTCCCCTCCTAGATAACCCTCTTCGTGGCAGGGACATGTGGACTTCCAACTACCCACACCATGATGACTTTGACAGTGATAATACTGATGATGAACTGGCAGCTAGTTACCTTGATGACCGGTCTTCGTCACCAGAAATGTTTGTCCCTGCCCGGCATATCCCCAGACCACGTGGCCCCTCCCCTAAAGGAACAGAATTACTTCACTCTGACTTTGGTGACATGCCCTTGACCTTTGATGCATTTATTGGGGGAATGCAGGTCAAGGTTGTCATGGGTGACATCGTTAAAGAACGCAGTGACGCAATAGTGAACCCAACAAATCAAACAATGAGCCACTCATATGGAATTTCAGCAGCAATTGCCAGAATGGCAGGAAGAGGCTTAATTGATGAATGTAGGAATCACATCACTCGTAATGGCCCCCTGGAGGTCGCTCAGGTCACCAAGACATGCGCTGGTGGGGCACTCGACAGCCAAGTGGACTTTGTCCTTCATACTGTGCCACCAACATGGAGAGAACATGAAGTCGAATCCACGTCCCATATTCTTACCTGCACTTACTTGAACTGTTTACAAGTGGCTAACAAACAGCTGTGGTTGCGATCATTGTCTCTTCCCATCATAGGAGCAGGTACAGTATTCAGGCCATTTGTGTTTTAGAGAATCCATTAGTGGAAAACAATTCGTATTATTAGAGACACATTTGTTCCTATTCATGTATCACCTGCTCAAAGTATGTTAAGAAAGACAACAAGGGAACTGGAGACAATTGTCTTGTGGAGCAGTTGATGCTAAGGATTTAATGTAATAATTGAAATGGACATGATCAAATTGATGTAATGAATATAAAACCTGATGTATTGAATATGAAATTAACCTATGAATGCAGTACGCTATAATGATTTAATATCTAAAAAAATTTCTTGAAAATATCCAATTTTTTGTTACCATTTGTTTATCAGTCTGTTACGACTATTGTATGCCAAACTTCTCAAGACTGGATGAAAAGATCTAGATATGAACCAAATGTACTTTATGTGGAAAATTTTCTTTTAAGAGGTTACTTCATTAGTAGTTTAAAAAAAACTTTGACTAAATTTGTAGATTGACTGCCTGTGGAATGCCTATAACGTCATTGCTTTGTTACTCCCAGGTGGCCTTGGAATCCCATTAGATGTAAGTGTCCAGGCGTTGTTTGATGCTGTACACCTGCATGTGTCCGATGAGCAAAAGACCAGTCACCTCCAGAGTGTCCAACTAGTAAGCAACACACAAGACAGCACCTGCTCTGTCATTGTAGTATTGCGGTCACTCCTTGACTTAGACCAAGGGGAGTCCCAAAACGGTGCTATTGACCGCTACCTTACCAGAAGTAAGGAGTTCAACTTCAGGGCGAAAGACTGCTATCTTGATCAGGAGAAACAAGACAGGAAAGTAAAGGGTGGTGATGAAAAGTGTGGTGTTTCAGTGGTTGATGAAAGAAAGCTTGCTAGTCCTGTGGAACAGATGGGTCCTTATGGTGCCAGCCTGGTTACCAATGAGGGTCCTGAGGTTCAAATAATGAAGAATAGGGGTGATGATATCCGTAGACTAGGAAACCAGGATGACGATGCTAACAATCTGTCAAACAGGGGTCAAGGTGTCGACATTCAGCAAGGCAGAGTGGACAGCCTTTCTAAAGACCATCAGGCCAGAGGGAACACCAAGCTGGAACTAGGCATCGATGTTGAAGGAGAAAATAGTCACATTTTTCAAGACAAGTACATGGTAGATTTGGGAGATGAGCCAGGCAAAGAGAAGATTTCAGGTTTTTGGACCAAACAAGTACCAGCATATCCAGTCGAGGAGGAAACCACGGAAGATGATACGAGTAGGAAAAGCATCCAGACTCGGGAAGTTTGTGTAGAGTCACAGAGACATGACCAATTGGATGAGTTTGTAGGTGGTGATGATGACTTCACTTATAAAGTGGACACAGTTCCAAGCATGCTAGAAAAGGCCAAGGAATCCACTCTAGGAAAAGAGGTAGATGACATGATCACGCATCATGGTGAGGACTCGGATAACAAAACGGGCATCACAGACAACCACACACTGTCGGTGAATGACTCTGAGATTCAGAAGAGTCTTACAGCAGGAAATGATGTGGCACAGAGCATGCCCTCTTGTGACTGACCACAACAGGTATTTATATCACTGGTCGGAAGGGTTTCCCAAAATGTTAATCGTTTTAACATGTAATGTGTATTGTATGTTCTTTGTGATGATGCTAGTAGTCTGCTGTCTTAATTTCATATATTTAGTCGATTATCCCCCATTCGATAAATGGGTTGTTATAGATATGCATTTTGTAGCAAATCGCTGTTATTAGTGCCCCTCCCCCTAGAGGTGCCCATCCCTCTATTTTGGGAGGAATTGAAATTATATAAACCCCTTTCCCAATCTATCCCAATCCTTACCAGGCGGGTCAATGATTTACAGTACTTACTTACAATTTTAAAGCAGAGATTCATGTCTAGTGATTAGGGTTGAACTTGCTTTGAAGAGAATGAAACATTTGATATCCAAACCTCCAGCTACACTGCAATGTTTATAATGTCCTCCTGTTATACTGTAGCCATGGTTACACAGCTTGTTCTATCGAAGCTAACATTTTATTATCTAAATAAGCTAAAAATGTAATTGCCCATGTGCTAATTACTGCAAATTTGTGTTTGTACACTGTCTACTTTTATTTAAGCCCCACATATAGTATGTGCGTATTTGTGTTTGGAAGATCACCAAACTCTGTGTGTGGACTCATATCTATGAGAACTCGTATGGGTTCCATTAGCCTGAGTTTCCTCTGGCCCTGACACCAGACTTAGATGTTTTGACGGATAGATGTGACACCAGACATCTATCTGTCCAAATGGCAAAGTCTGGTGTCAGGGCCAGAGGAAACTCAGGCTAAGGTTCATAACCAGTGAAGTCTGTCAATATTTGGAAGAGTTATCGGACTTCAAACTCCAAAATTTGCAATTGTATGACTTTCCTCACAAATGAATTGCATATTTGTGTTCAGATGTTCACCAAATTTGGTGCTTGGCTTCATATTAAAGAGACCTTGCATGGCTTGATGTAGAGTGAAATCCGTCTATATTTGCAAGAGTTATGGGACTTTGAATATCACCAAAAATTTGTTTTTATGACTTTCCGCACTATCACAGGCCTTATCTCAGATTCCATTTGATTCATTTAAAAAAAAAAAAAAATGGTGATACACTGTGATATGTAGATAATAGGGGATTAAATAGTTTTTCAGGTGAAGATTACTGTTACTAAACCATATTCAACGGTCAGACATATGGCATATTAAAAATAACCCTGTTGATTGGTCTGTGATCAAAAGATCTGTGTCATTATCATTGGTCAAGCTATCCCTGTGTGTATTATAACCTAGCATTATGTAATTGGGCGTAGGATTCCATTGTATCAATCGTGACATCACAGCTAGGACAACTTCATAGCATCACACCCTGTCAGTTGCATTGTGTCATCTCAAAAGAAGGTTTTGTGGCAAAATATTAATATTTTAGATTTCAATGTAGTCCAAGAAAATGTTTTTTTTGCAAATACAATTGCGTATCTTGGCTATATGTGATAAACAAAATCTTACATTCCTCTCCAATTCATATGAGATTTATGGAACTCCTCAAGATTTTTAATTGTAGCTCGCCAGAGGCTTGCTGAAATCTCATATCAAATGGAAACCTCTGATCCTCTGATCTCTATGCAAGAATGTATGATTATATTCAATATAGCTGTATATTGTAACTTCAATCATCTTATACATGAGCAGATTACTTACACTGATTGTACTAAAACTGTACAAAGTGAAGCATTAGTGAAGCATTAACTTAATGTTAATATTGGAATGCATACATTCATTTAGATAAAGAACTTTCTGTTGTCTACCGGTTTGTACAATATTTCCATCTTTTTTACTGGTAGAATATTTTTAAGACTACATTTTATTGTTGCTAAATCTGTAACTGGAAAGAAATATCTTTAGAAAGTCTAACCAAAACTATTGGTTGATCTCAAATGCTAGAAATAACTGCATTTGTTGTAGATTTGAGCGTAGAATTTATTTGTTGTTAATTTATTTAATTCCACAGAAAGACAGAATGGTGAAGACAAACTGACTGACCATTTTATGGACGCAGTTGAGGAGACACAGACCGGCTGTTTGGAATAGAAGCTGTGTGTTAATCTTTTAGCTGTATATAAGTTGCTTTTATTGATTTATATGATATATGCATGATCTTGAAATTAGAGTGATCTCTCCACCAAAGATGTGATCATATGATAGAGACAGCTATCATACATAGAGAAACTTCTATTGCAAAAATATAAACATTTTAAATATTTTATAATACTGGAGTACACAAAGAAAGCTTCTCCTGCAAAATCTAGTAGTACTTTCTCTTGATTATGTTTTGTTTTATTTCTTGTCAAATATTTCCCTTATTCAGAGCCTGTCTAGAAAAATAGATAAGAATCATTACACCCGAGTTCCGAGTGACTGAAACAGATGACGTTAACAATGGCTTGACAACCTGACCATCTTTACTATTGTGTTATTGTTTTATTTTGGTAATCAAATGTTTATTTATGAATTTTTACTTGTTGTTTAATCATGTTTCTCTCAGCCTTTTCCCTTGTTAATAATTAAGCTTGAGGAAACAAAGAATCATGCTTCCCTACAGCAAAAGGAAACAATGTATACTATTAACCTCCAAGACTTGGAGAACAAAAACATATGTATAAGATATGAGTTTGATCTTGGAAAGAAAATCATTATCAGTGTGTGTGATTTATGTTACATTTTGTATAAGATAATTGATGAATTAGTCCCCCACCATTATTACTGTGTCTAGTGATCACTTGAATTTGTCCAGGGTTTACCTTATTTACTGTCGCCTGCAATTTCCAAGTTTTGTGAGCACCACTGGGGATGGCAGTGATGTGGCCCTTTATTTTACCCTTGCATCACAAGTCATTGAGGGTATAAAAGGATCTTCTGGTACAGACTTCATTTTTGTTTTTATTATAAGCTATTAATTCTATTTCCATATCATTATGAAATGTGAATGATAGAATGTACTGAAGTTAAATCAGTTTGTATTGTTAAAAATCCAGAAATGAATTTTGTTTGGAGTTTGATTAGTTTGAAAGGTCATGCAGTGAGCTTATGCCATGGTCTAGTGTACAATAGAAGTTACTGTAGAGACCACTAGTGTACAATAGAAGTTACTGTAGAGACCACTAGTATACAATAGAAGTTACTGGAGAGACCACTATTGTACAGTAGAAGTTACTGTAGAGACCACTAGTGTACAGTAGAGGTTACTGGAGAGACCACTAGTGTACAGTAGAAGTTACCGAAGAGACCATTGTGTACAGTAGAGGTTACTGTAGAGACCACTATTGTACAGTAGAGGTTACTGGAGAGACCACTAGTGTACAGTAGGGGTTACTGGAGAGACCACTAGTGTACAGTAGAGGTTACTGGAGAGACCACTAGTGTACAGTAGAAGTTACTGAAGAGACCATTGTGTACAGTAGAGGTTACTGTAGAGACCACTATTGTACAGTAGAGGTTACTGGAGAGACCACTAGTGTACAGTAGAGGTTACTGGAGAGACCACTAGTGTACAGTAGAAGTTACTGAAGAGACCATAGTGTACAGTAGAGGTTACTGGAAAGACCACTAGTGTACAGTAGAAGTTACTGAAGAGACCACTAGTGTACAGTAGAAGTTACTGTAGGGACCACTAGTGTACAGTAGAGGTTACTGGAGAGACCACTAGTGTACAGTAGAGGTTACTGTAGAGACCACTAGTGTACAGTAGAGGTTACTGGAAAGACCACTAGTGTACAGTAGAGGTTACTGTAGGGACCACTAGTGTACAGTAGAGGTTACTGGAAAGACCACTAATGGACAGTAGAGGTTACTGGAAAGACCACTAATGCACAGTAGAGGTTTCTGGAAAGACCACTAGTGTACAGTAGATGTTACTGGAAAGACCACTAGTGTGCAGTAGAAGTTACTGAAGAGACCACTAGTGTACAGTAAAAGTTACTGTAGGGACCACTAGTGTACAGTAGAGGTGACTTGAGAGACCACTAGGGTACAGTATGAGATTCTGGAGAGACCACTAGTGTACAGTATAGGTTACTGGAAAGACCACTATTGTATAGTAGAGGTTACTGGAAAGACCACTATTGTATAGTAGAGGTTACTGGAAAGACCACTAATGGACAGTAGAGGTTACTGGAAAGACCACTAATGGACAGTAGAGGTTACTGGAAAGACCACAAGTGTACAGTAGAGGTTACTGTAGAGACCCCTAGTGTACAGTAGATGTTACTGGAAAGACCACTAGTGTGCAGTAGAAGTTACTGAAGAGACCATTGTGTACAGTAGAGGTTACTGTAGGGACCACTAGTGTACAGTAGAGGTGACTTGAGAGACCACTAGGGTACAGAATGAGATACTGGAGAGACCACTAGTGTACAGTATAGGTTACTGGAAAGACCACTATTGTATAGTAGAGGTTACTGGAAAGACCACAAGTGTACAGTAGAGGTTACTGGAAAGACCACAAGTGTACAGTAGAGGTTACTGTAGAGACCCCTAGTGTACAGTAGAGGTTCCTGGAAAGACCACTAGTGTACAGGAGAGGTTACTTGAGAGACCACTAGGGTACAGAATGAGATACTGGAGAGACCACTAGTGTACATTAGAGGTTACTGCAGAGACCACTAGTGTACTGTAGAAGTTACTGGAGAGACCACTAGTGTACAGTAGAGGTGACTTGAGAGACCACTAGGGTACAGAATGAGATACTGGAGAGACCACTAGTGTACATTAGAGGTTACTGCAGAGACCACTAGTGTACTGTAGAAGTTACTGGAGAGACCACTATTGTAGAGTGGAGGGGACTTGAGAGACCACTAGTGTACAGTAGAGGTTACTGGAGAGACCACTCCTTCTGAGGATTGTTTTCTTTTATCTTAAGGATCTCTGTCCCACTGCACCGTTCTTCTTCATGTACAGTATATGCCCCATAATTTCAATATGAATAGAACTGTAGCGTTAATCTAAGACACTTCCGGTGACCAGGTAGATCCGTCAGAGCAACTGTTTGACAATTTGGGTTCATGGTTCAAATACAGGCCTAGCCACTGAATTTTTACACACAGAACACTTTTGTTAATTTTGTTTTTGTTTATTTCATCTCTTTTATTTTTTCGTAACAGTCGATCTTGCAGGGAATATTTTCCTTTTTAGAAATGATTTATCAAAGCTATTGGCCTGCTTGAAAAATAATTTTCGACTGCATAGTTTCAGTTTGTGGCAGTGGTTTGGGGATCCTTCGTCTGATGTGTCTGTAAGGTCATTATATTTCAATGCCTCTGCTAGGGGTCCTGAGAAATTGTTTCAAAATGTCACTTCATAGGTAAGGGAGTGGTTAAGGCCCGATGTCATTAGTTATGATTTCCTCATACAGTATTTACAATTGATTTGAACCTGTTACTTATATATTGCTTCATGCTTATTTTGTTTGTATTGGGTAGATTAATTCATAATAATTTGTAATATACAGTGAAATTTGTCAAATCTGACCCGGAGTACTCCGACATCCTATCTTACCCAATTATAATTAATTACTAATGATTAACTGCTAAATGACTTTTAATGAGAGATGTATTTCAACATGCTGTCTTATCTGACCAATATGTTGTGTTCCACAGGTGTCGATTAAGGCAGGTTTCACTGTACTTCTGAGTATTGATTAAAATAAACAATGATTGCTCTTTCATTAATGTGTTGGATATTTTCTACATCAAAGATAAATTGTACATACCATTTGATCACGCATGTCAGTGTCACAACGATCGAAGAATAGAATCAGTTTCTTACAACAGAAAACAAAACTCAAAAGCAACATCTTAGTTTCTAGATTATGTGGCCGACAATAACAGTAGTACCGATTTTAGAGACTCACAAATAGAGTAGTTATATATAGATTTACAAATCATCCTTTAAAAATAACAAATTAAAGATTATGCCAAAACAAATCAATACATCTACCCAGAGATTCTGAAAGTTGATGACACCATTTAGAAAAATCATTGATATGATATAGGAGCAATTAAGAGATACCAACAGAAGGAAAGTCATCAGTTGTCTGATGAATCGATTATCAAGGGAATCCAGGGTATCTTGGTGGAAAGGAATTGTGTTATCCAATGTGCCAGCCAACCACCTATCATGAGTTTACTAGTATCATCGGGACAGGTGAGCTGAACATGGCAGATAAACTGAAGTTGTGTGTGGACTGTGGACAAAGATGCTACAAAATGCATACAATAAAAACTCCTCTAAGCTGTGGAGACTGAAGGTCGCCAGACTTAGTATGGGCTCTAAGCTGTGGAGACTGAAGGTCGCCAGACTAAGTATGGGCTCTAAGCTGTGGAGACTGAAGGTCGCCAGACTAAGTATGGGCTCTAAGCTGTGGAGACTGAAGGTCGCCAGACTAAGTATGGACTCTAAGCTGTGGAGACTGAAGGTCGCCAGACTTAGTATGGGGAGAGCATTCAATCATTAGATTTCCATAGGATTTTAGAGTGCAAAGCTGTGTTTTCTTACTACAACTATGCCTATGAAGAATTAAGAATTGCCATGACAAGGACTGCTTGGAATCTTTAATCTGGGAAGACGATCCTTCAAAAAGACCGACGTCATTCCTGTATAGGAGAAATGCATTTTCAGTTGCTTAATTCTACATACATTGTGATAACAAATGGGACAACCACCATCTAGTGGGGACAAGATATTTATTGAAAGTTTCAGCCATCCCCCTACAGGTACATTTTTGTAGAGATTGAGATTGGGTATGATATCATCTTAAGAGCTGCTTCTGGTAAGGTCTTGCTATATTGCCTACTTATTTTTCAAAGACTTGTTTGAAAGTTGTTAAATACATTTTCTCCCACAACCACTATAGATTTCCTTACTCCTGACTCAATGGATAAACCTAGTAAGAGTTGGTAAACATTTTTGGTAATCCAGTAGTGGGCGACACCTTGGACATTATTTCATTTGTCAATTTTCTAATTGACATCAAGTAACAATGCTTAGCAACGTCATCTTCCATTGTCATAGCTCATGGCAATTGTTTCGTCGACAATGCCTGTCAAGTTTGATAACATTTTGNTTTTTTTAAAAAAAAAATTAAAAAAAAAAAAAAAAAAAAAAAAAACCCACATCAAACAAATCTTATGACTTAAAATTCAAGTAATTTTTGTTTTATTTCAAATGATTTATTTGAACAAACAGCACACAAACAAATAATAATAAAAAAATTAAGACAATTCAAAAATTAAACACAACTTGGCTTTTTAATGCTTGAAAAGACAATCAAGAACTATAGAACATGAGGTTTTCAATGGAAGATTTCACAAAGTCCACACGGTTAGGATTATTGATCACGATACTTTCTTAAATTAGTGCAAATAATTTTGAAGTATAATTTTGTTTCAAGGACAGCTATTGGTATGTGATAGATAACCTAAAATAGTGACCTGAAATTTGTCCATTGTGATTGTTTTGTATTTGCTTTGTTATCAAAGGAAATAATATTCTACAATTTTTTTTTATACAGGATTAGAAAGTGAATTCATTTCTTTTAATTTGCCCTGAATAAAGTAGTTTCTCTAACATAAAATAATGAGAAATTTTAATCAGTCGGACATCTTTTCAATCTTGTTTTGTTATGTTTCCTTTTTTCGAGAGTTGTTATCTTTTCTTGCTAATTTACTCAATGCAAACAAAAAACAAAAAAAACCCATGAAAATCATCATATTACATACTTTTATAATAAAAGTTTTGCACAGAAAAAAATGTTGTCATCAAAGGTAACGTTCCACAACTGTCTTGGTTCGAGTTTCAGTGAGGGAACTCAGTTCATCCAAAAACAAATTTGTCATTATCAAATAATCACTGTTATTGTAGAAATGTATGCATGAGGTAACTTGTAACAAAGTGTCTATATTTCCCTCACACCTAAAAATTCAATACTCACAAACTCTAGATCATTGAAAAAAAGGCTCCCATGTCAATAATTAAAATTAAGTAAATTATATCTGCAAAATGAACACCTTGTGAAATTAACTAAATGTCCAATATAAGGTCAATGTGTTGACCGTATATTCTATACCAACATAAGTTTTCACAGGAAATGTTTAAAAGATTTTGGAAAAAAAAAAAATCTTCAAAAGGAAGACAAAAGTGAAACATTGCTTCTGACCAGAGAAAAACTATTTAAGTAAATCATAGTTTTAAGCCAGAGACTGTTCTTGATAAATTGGTATCGGAGCATATCAGTGTACTATCATGGTAGTCTTTAATACCAGAATACTTCTTTGTACCGATGTGTTATAAAAACATTTTTTTGTTACTTACACACAGAACACACCTTTAAAGCAATGAACACCAAAGCAGAGAAATTGCTTCCTGCAAATCTTGCGGATAGGTAAGGAGCATATCATATCATGATTAATCACACACTCACCGCCCAATGATCACTCGCACAATAAACACGATCATACATTGTAATTGAGCTGTAATGATATTTACAATGTAATTAATAGCTATTCAGCAACAAATAAGTACAAAATCATTGAAATTCTTTCTCATTGCGTTTTCTCTCACACAGAATTTCAAAAACAATGACACTAAATTAAGCAAATTAATAAACAATTCATACATTTTACTCCTAAAATGAAAAATTTGAACATGAACAGACTCTGAATATTTTTTTTGGGGAAGTTTCATCATCCAACACTTGTACTATATCGGGGAAAGATTATCGAGAATAATCAACATACATACACATATATCTAATATACAAACATCAAAAACATTTTTTCAAATTTTATAAGCACTGACATGAAGACAACTTGGCCTTACTAAAGCATCGTCCTGATGCAGCATCTTCAGCTTCCATATACATTTATTGACCTGTAACATGTGTTTAACATCACAATGCTTGAAAATGTTGTTACAAATTTAGGCTTCAACACTCACTTTTAAGTCTATGGGCCTGAGGCCCCTAAAATTCGTCCCTGGTGGCCCAAAGGCCCCAAATTTGATGGCTATTATATGCCAGATGTTTCAGCATCAATTTCTGACTTATTCATAAAAAATAGAATGTTGCCCAAAGACAAATATTTAACAAAATATTTTCTAAGAAGCTGTTATACATTTAAAGCCATACATTACTCTAAAACAGATTCCTCTACAGATTTTATAAACTTAAAAGTTTTTAGGGGGATCATGACCCTAGACCCCCCTCTAGATGTACTCTTGCTTAGATGCACGCACTGTGCAAGAGAAGTAATCACAGGAGACATGCTCAAAAAGGGTCCTGTGATTTATAGGAGCCTACAGTTATATATATATTATGTGAGCCGTAAGTCGGTTTAACCCACATTCTATGAAGCGTATCAGTTGAAACGACAACTGATCATGATGAAGTTTTAATCAAACACTTTCACATGACAAGTTAACCACTAGACTCGTAATAATACAAATTAATTTATATCTGTTTAGCACTTCGCTAGTACGTCCTACAGAATCTCAACAAGATCAGCATCAAACTAGCATCACCTGAATTATTTGGAAGGTACCCTGCAACATTTCTGTTTACCGGTAAAATATATCAAAAGTACACCATCTCTAATTTGAATCTCTAAGCATACCTGTAACTACATATACATTCACAAAATGAAATATATATTGCTTTTTCAGTTGTTTGAACAAGTAATTTTACCTTTATTACCCATAGTATCCTTATTCAAAATTGAAACATAAAGTACTTCACATTTTGTAATCCCAGCATGTGCAATTCCAAATATGGGAGTGTAGCATGATCACTGCTTCCCTTATATTAACTATATACGAATGAATGTATCTACACCAGGGAGGCAATACTTCTGCTTTTCCTCTAAATCTGTGAATCTGTAGTACTTGATTATTTCATAATGTCAATTGAAATTACAATAGAACTATATCTGGTATATGTACTGTATATGTACATATGTTAATACTCCAAAGTGGATTGTAGATGAGTATTTGACTTCTGATCTACAACTGGTTAAAAAGCTGACAAGTTGAAGTCACCAAATGTATTCTTCTATAGATCCATTAGAACACAAATGGTTTTCAGGCAACTGATTTGTTATGATTAATGTACCACTTTCATCATTAATATCACCAGGATGAATCTTATCACAATTAAAACCTAATTAGACATTGCTTTATTTTCATAACTACCAGAATGTTGAACCCATGATTGTCATACATATATAAATTCTTCTTCCTGAAGCTGTACATGTATGCAACCTGCTCACTGATTGGTCATCCACCATGTGCATGTAAGCCAGTGCTATTGATTGGCAGATTCACAAGCATCTATCCAATCGCTGTAAACATCTATGGCTTCTGAAAGATCTGAGTGGAATATTAAGTAAAATATTTATTTCTGATACTGTACATGGTAAATAAATACATTTTTTAATATGATATTGCAAGACAAATTTAAATTTGGCCGAATATATCAATTTTCAGTAAAACATACGTATTTATTGCAAATACCATTATGTTATATCACTTTGTCATATTACAAAGATGTGATCAGTATTTTTACAATCATGAGATTTGAACAATTTCATTCCTGAAGACTCTACATATGTAGGTGTGGAAAAGGATACAGTTGATATTTGTCTGGAAGTCCTCTAGGCATACATTACATGTGACAAAACCAGTGTTTCTCTCTCGATCCCTGAAAAGTATCATGGATTCAAGTTATACAAAATTCATTCTCCAATACATATAATAGCCATTCATTTCATAAATGAATTATCCATTTGCCAAAAATTAATTATTAATGTGGACTTTACTAATTTGTATACATGTAGTCTTCCTGCATTTTATAAATTTGACTACAGAATAAGAACTAAGTCTAGTTGTGATTTGACCTGTCAGTGAACATAATTCTCCTGTATGTGTAGCTCCAGTAGGGCTGTGACCAGACAGCCTTACAGTTTTACTGGTTACACCAAAGGAATTGCACAAAATTGGGTGAGTGTGACACCAATTTTTTTTCAGGCATCATGACCTAATTTTCAGGAACATGACTTATATCAAAATAAAGTTCTGCTCCTGATGATAATGAGGCTATACCTAGGTTCCTATAATTTAGACACGTCATTTAAGATTAGATGGTACTCTGCTAATTTAAGTATATTATCATAATTTCGGCTGCGTTTTGTAAAATTGGGTACAAGAGTATGTAAATTAGATTGTTCCTGAAATTTAGATGCAAAAGTCAATTGTTTAGGTCTTCTGTGCCTCCCATCGATTATGATTGATGAGGTTAACTCATTCACCCCTGAAATTTCGTAATGAACTTTTCCAACCTTTGAACTTAAAGAGCAGTAGCACTATATAGGGCCCCTGAAAAATTATTTCACACCCTTTCCAGTCACTAAGTCATGATCAATTTACACTTACTTTGAAACCTATTTCCTAATAATTGATAGAGAAGAGTTTCAAATGATAACGACAAGCTTAATTTTAAGTCATAAAACTTCGCCCGAGTTTCCTCCGGCCCTGACACTAGACTCTGTTTTGACAGATAGTTGTCCCACACAAGACATCTATCTGTCAAATTTTAAAGTTATTTGGATTAAACTTATGAAATACATAAGTATCATATATCACATGTTGTTAATTTAAGTGATAAACAATCCAATATTACATTCTATTTTACTATCTCCAAGCTTTCTTATTTTTAAAGTTTTGCCTTCATTTATATATGATTTTCCCAATATGGGCACATTACCATAACACAAACCATACGAGAGTATAGATACTTGTATACTTACAGTTTGACCTCACATGACTTTTCGTGGTTACAGAATGGACAGTTGAACAGGGTGGCTAGTGGCTCTATAGCCTTCCTCTTTGGAGGAGGCTTGTTTGCCTTCTTCCTTCGTCCCATTATTAATGCTCTTCAGTTTCTGAAAAAAATGCAGCCTATACTTTAGATGATATTTTGGTATGACAAAGCCCCAGAAAAAAACCCCAATGTTAGTGGAAACTTAGTGTAAAGACAATTCTATTAGTTTTTGCTTGGAAAGGATTAGTTGCATTGTTCAATGATCTGCCATGCAAAGTTAAACATTATGAACAAAAGAGGGCTTTATTCTTTCAACATTATCCAATAATTAATACAGTGAGGTACAATTATACACAAAAATATGTTAATTCAGTTGTCTAAATTCTTGTTGAATGACAAACTGTATCACCTCCATAGCTTATAGCGTGTTGTAGATTGGTTTTGGGTTTTATTTTGTTACACGTCCTATTAACAGCTAAGGTCATTAAAGGACATTTCTCCACGTGTGTAATATATGCATGCTTGTGTATGTGTGCTGGAGGTAGGATATGTTGATGTATTTGACTGAAAAAATAACCATGACGAAGGCACTCAGCAGAGTATTCCAAACGGTCACATACCAGTTGCTGGAGCCCCGGCAAATCTGGCTATATAGGACAAATGTAAACGAACAACCCGTACCTGGATGCATACGATAACATTGTGGACCAAACAAGTGAGTCGCTGAAATTAAAGACAATTGTCTGAATACACAATTTCAATTGATATGGTAAAATTTCATCGGTGCATTTTTTTTCCTTTCAGCATTTCTTCATTATTATGTACCGGTAGTATAAACTAAAGCGTGTGTCTATTCAATATGACGTCAATGTCTTTCCAAAGATGCAGATTTGGGTCTCATGTGTACTTTCTGAAGATACTTCCGAGTATGAATAAACATGCAATGAAAGTTGATTATGTGTCGAGTGGGAGTGAAATATTTGGTGTCTAGGTAAAAATGTGTTTATATTCCTACCAAATATTGCAACGATAAAAATCAACAAAATCACTGGAAATCAAGTTTTTAGCTATAGACATCTTTCGTTTCACTGACTCAGCGTTTGGTCCACCAATTTTTTAATGTGCACAAGAAATTTGCGACCACAATGGACTTGTTTGTTTACATTCGTCCTATATACATGTGGCAGGTTTTGATTGTACATAGGATTAACGTCGCCATCTAGCTTCGAGCTAGAGGGAATTTCCCTTTAGCTCAGTGGTAGAGCGTCTGACTAGGAACCTGAAGATCGAAGATTTGATCTCTAGTGGAAGCACACTATTCTCTTTCTCCTGTTACAAATGGTGTCTAGATCTGTGGCCCTCCATGTGGTGACAGGGATGTTAGAAAATAGGTTATGGTGTTCGAGGGCGAACACATTTAAAAGGGGGGGGGGAGTAGTTTGGCAGGTTTTAATTGAACATAGGATAAAGGTCGCCTTCTTGCTTCGAGCTAGGTCGTCCAACTAGGAACCTTGAGATCGAAGGGATCGATCCCTGTTGGTAGCACACTATTCTCTTTCCTGTTACATACATCAGGTCCAGTACACTCTGCCGATTGAGCTATATAGCTATTTCTCTTTCCTGTTACATACATCAGGTCAAGTACACTCTGCCAATTGAGCTATATAGCTATCAAGACCTATATACACCTATAAAATAAGTATAGATGTATTGAGCTATATTTTCTCAAGATTTCAATTTTCATTAAATTAAAGCAAAGCTGCATAAAAGGATAAGGTTGATCATAATGTTGACTACAAAAAGCATACAGTTAGATGTTTTTTTCTCTTTTTTTTTCATAAATGTAAATTTCGGATTTTTTTACATTGGTTCATTGGTTCATTGCAGGTGCCACTGTTGCAAGCGTCTAGTCGCTTCTTGAGGTGCTTCTTAATACTATCCACTTCACTTCCGGTTGCATTTGGAGGCATTTGAAGAAGACATTATTTCACAAAAAATCTAGTGAAAATTATTTACATGCAAAGTGGGTTGTAACAAAGGTTGCATCCTAATTTCATATAAAATAAGGGTATTCAGTTATAAAAAAGGACTGACAGGGCTGTATAGATCACAAGTCTCAAAAAAAATAGTTTATTTTACTATTTAGTGTGAATACACACATTGTCGTTACAGACCTGTCAATGAGCTGTACTTCGAAGTAGATATTAAAAGGTTTCACAACTTAAAAAAATACTGAATTTGGATTGAACATTAGGGAAGCCTGTATGTATTACCCCAGCTATAGCTAGTTAGTAGAAGCTTGGTTCAAACTTGTTGGGGTGATTTATCCAGTGTTTGTTTAACCTCATGGTCTTAAACCCCCCCAGAGATTGGGCATTTACCACTTGATCAGAGAGACCATTCCAGTTGTTTACAATTCTTAAAAGTTTGCACCTTGTCTGACCTGAGTCTCCTTACATCATTATTTTTTAAAAAGAATGCTTATATTTAACGTCTTTTGTTATCAACCTAATGATACAATCTTCTTTTAAAAGTGGCTTTGTTTTGTATTCCTTAAACAAGAGGCCCAGAGGGCATGTATCGCTCACCTGAATATAATTAAAGTAATTGGTATGAAGTAAAGATATAGCACTTCATGGTAGGTGCTGTTAGTACATATGAAATTTCAGAAAGATCCATCCAGTACTTGAGATATAGAGAACAAACTTCAAACAGAGCCCCACCCCTATGCCCCTACGGGGGTCATACCCACCAATTATACAAAATTGAGTCACCGTCATCCAAGGATGCTCCACACTAAATAAGGATAAAATCCCTTAATTCCGATGGTCGGAGAAGGATTTTAAAGGTTTTACCTCTATTTTTCCTATTGGGCCCCACCCTTCTGCCCCCCCCTCGGAGACCACACCTACTGCTAATACAAAATTGAGTCCCCTTGGCCCAAGGATGCTCCAGACTAAATTAGGATAAAATCCCTTAATACCTATGGTAGGAGAAGGATTTTAAAGTTTTTACCTCTAATTTCCCTATTGGGCCCCACCTCTCTGCCTACAGCGGGGTCAGACACACCGTTTATACAAAAATGGTCCCCCTTCACCCAAGAATGCTTCAGACCAAATATGGAACAAATCCTTCCATTCCTACAGAAGAAGAAGGATTTTAAAGAATTTGCTATATTTCCCCTATTGGGCCCCGCCCCTCAGCCCCCAGGGGGGCCAGACCCACCATTTTTACAAACTTTGTTCCCCTTCCCCCAAGGATGCTTCAGACCAAATATGGAACAAATCCTTTCATCCCTACAGAAGAAGGATTTTAAAGAATAATTTGCTATATTTCCCCTATTGGGCCCCGCCCCTAAGCCCCCAGGGAGGCCAGACCCACAATTTATACAAACTTTGTTCCCCTTCCCCCAAGGATGCTTCAGACCAAATATGGAACAAATCCTTCCATTCCTACAGAAGAAGAAGGATTTTAAAGAATAATTTGCTATATTTCCCCTATTTGGCCCTGCCCCTCAGGCCCCTGGGGGGGCAGACCTACCATTTATACAAAATTGAAAATTACTTGAAAATAGCTCAAAAGACCTATTTCAGATAGGTCAATTGAGCTATTATAGGTCTTTAAAGGGGCTGGTCGGGGAAAAAAATCACAAAATAAATGGGTCTAAATGCGTTCTCTGGCCTTCCAAAATTTATACCACGGTAATATGATGGTCGAGTTCTACTTGTAATGTCCAGTTTAGACTGTCAGGTGACGATTTAGGATTTCTTTAATATAATTATTATTTTTACTCTTAGGGAGTAAATTTCAGCAAAATTTGAATCGGTATATTTCATAAGAAGGTATTTTAAACATGTGTATGCCATTTTAGCAAATATGACATTTTTTCCCCGACCAGCCCTTTTAAAGCTATATCAGGTTGGCGAAAACCACCAACTTGCGTATATATGCAAACTCGCCTATTATACGCCAGTCGGAGTATGGATTTGTAACTAAAAATAACCCAAATCGCTGTAATAGTAACCTTTGCAAGATATTATTAGAAATCGCATTAATTTACGACAAGGTATATAATATTTTGCTAAAAGATGTTTACTGAAACTGTTGGCTACTTAGAAACTCTACCGGAAGTATTGCATCTGTTTTTGGTATTTTCCGACATGCAAATAAAGTTTATATTTGCATTTGTATTATGTTTCATGACTGAATAAATGCGACTTGGACAAACAATGTGAAAAATTTAAGATTAAAGTGATTTTGGCTATTTTAGTAACAAATCCATACCCCTATTGGCGTATAATAGGCAAGTTTGCGCAAGTTAGTGGTTTTCCCCGACCTGTATATAGCTCAATCGGCTGTGTACTGGACCTGTACATATAGTCATATTTGACTAAATGGCCAGATTTGCCCGTGCTCTAGTACCTGTAGATCTATACTGACAATGGGTAAACTAGTCGTTGCGGTTATCCTAAATGCTGAACGTTAAGCAGGGAATAACAACTACCAATGACAGCACCTAAGTCTATGGAGAACAATTAAGTTTATATATGTCAAAAAGCAAGTGGTCTAGTTTAAGGCGAGTTGTGTTAACTGTGAACAATTAAATGTCAATATTCGAAAAGCTTTATTTATAGTATGCATATATAGTATATATATACACAATTTCTATGTCAAATGGTATCCGTCAAAACAGGTGACTTGAAACGTGGACCGTAACGAATACCGCAATTATAAGCCATTCCTTATGTTACCTTCCGTACATAAACATCATTTAAATTGCTCCAGTGTCAGTGTTTGACTTTCAATGTAAACATGGCTAACTTAATATGAACACATTGTTTTTCTTAATAGTAAAAAAATACAAAACATTCTTACACAAATCACAGGCTGTTCGTGCAATCTCCCTGGTGTTGTTACCGGAAATGAGATTTTACCGCGTAAGAAAGTCATTGCAATCGATAAAGAGTACCTTCCACTTACGATACAACGAAAGGCAGTTGAGTCTAGCTTTGAATACGGAAATATTCCCCAAACAATTTTATAATGGTATTTTTATCACAAACAATATAAATTTAATTACTTTTATATAGATAATTTAAATGTAGATTTATCGACTATATTTTTGTAGAAAGTATGAAAATGGCGGCCTCCATGAAATGCTGACGTGCATATTATTAAACCCATTGGAGGAGAATGAGTCTGTTGGAATATGAAAACCAGATATTCCTTGATGGATATCATGAGGATGGACTGACAGTTCTTGCAAAGTAATTGTAAAATCACAGCCAAGATCTACAACAATCATATGTCTTTAGCCAAATTAGGCATATAATCAGCACTGTATCAGATAATAAATATATCAGATACTAGAGTTGTATGAAGACGATGTTAGAACCAGTGCTAAAATAGTGCTGTCGTTAGTTAACTTTTCTTTATGATATTGACCAATTTCAACAAGTTGGAGAAAAATGTCAGATACTGAAATAGAGAGAGAGAGAGAGCTTAATATTTTAGAATGAACCTTAAAAAAAAAAGATTTTTGGTATAGTGAAGAAAAATCCATGTTTGCAGTTTACAGAGACACTAGTGACCATTCATTTATTATTTTTTCCAATTCCAAATTAAAGCCACCTTCCCCATTCTGAAAACAGTGAAAAATCCTGTTTATGTCAGTGACATTTTGTACAAATGTACGTCTACCTTAAGGCTTTAGAATACGGATATATGAATGATGGTAATTTATATCAACTCTATACATTTTCGCTTTGCAATAAAAAAACAGGGCTTAAGCATTGATTTCACAATTAACATCTTGTGTTTTTGTTTTTCTTACATAGGGGTCTGGGTGTTGACAGGATATTTTTGAACTTCCTTAAAGTTTACAGTGATGAGTCAAACTTGGTACTAGTTATCGGCACATCATCGACAGAGGAGGTAAGTATAGTGATGGAGAGTTTAAAGTAATGGTAGGATGAATGACTAAGGGCTGTGACGCTGTCTGTATTCTGTAAGTTTTTATTAAGTCTGATAAATAACAAAAAAAATATATAAATGAAAGGACTACATATATATATGTAACAGGAAAGAGAATAATGTGCTTCCCCTGGGATCGAACCCTCGATCTCTAGTCGGACACTCTACCACTGAGCTAAAGGGAAATTCCCTCCAGCTCCAAGCTAGAGACGGCGACCGAAATCCTATGTACAATTAAAATCTGCCAAATACATATATATGACGATTATTTTCTGGATAAAAGATTGGACCTCTCCAAAAATTTGCAACATTGTATTTTCTACACTAGTTTCAATTACTTTCTTGCCCTACAATATATATACTTTTCTTTTAGTTAAATTATATATTTAATGAGTCTATTCCATCTATAATTGATGAAACAGTTGAACTTCTAATCAAAATTATGACATTCACTTCATAACATGATAATAACAAGAAACACTAAAATATTTCTAATGAGTGACTAGAATTGTCATTCTGTCTTTATAAATAGACATGATATTGATTTACCCTAATGGAGTTTATATAAAGACTTCTTTTTGTGTCGCCTGCATCGCGAGGCGTGATATAGGTATTACTTTGTCATCGGCATCCGAAACAAGGTTTCCGTGCGAAAACTTATGTTCCCTTTAAGTTGGGTTGATTAAACCAAACTTGGTACACATATTGCATACCAATATACGTCGGACATTTCAGAAGTTTATGTGCATTTTTGGTGGAGTTATGCCCCTTTTATTGCTAAATTAGGGCATTGTATAGTAAATGCAAGAACTTTTTTACTTTTTAATCAATTCCTTTCAAATTTTGTACGGTAATGCAAGAAGCAATAATGTTCAACATATATTACAGGTTTTTCTGTCAAGTTCACCTTTCCGTGTTTTGGCATATCTGTTTACGCGATAACTCAAGCCAAAACACTTTCCTTACTAAAAGCGCTGAGCAGGCGACACATCCATTCCCATGGAATTCTTGTTTCTCCATATGATATTTGTTTGAGTGATGCTTATTGATAGGATGTATACATTTCTTTTTTTATTATCGTTTATATTTGTTGTATTGATTTATCTTTTCAGGAATATTTCCTAGAACAACTAGAAAATGACAATGTAAAACCACTACCCAGGGTGATTACCAATGAAATAAGTGCAACTGAAAGGTACAATTAATGAATTAATGTAAAGTGAACAGTTGATTAAATAAAGACATTCCTTAAATATATTACTGCTTAACATTCAGCGCATTTCCTGTACATATAATATTTGGATCAGATTTTCATTCCCAATGATATTTATAAATATTTCTTCCCAGAAAAAAAATCTTAACACAGCTTGATTTATCGTAAATGTCTTAAAAGATGCTGTATAGCAAGAAGGTCTCTAGAAAACACAACATTCTTGAACAGATTCTTTGAGAAAAGAAACGAGATAATTGATTTATATGTCACTGAACATAGAAAACTGGTGGAACTGGATTAGGTCGATCATCGGCGACCAGGTAGTTCAATTGGTAGAGCGTATGCATATGTCTAGAGTTCAGAGGGTCTCGGGTTCGAATCCCGGTCTGGCCGTTACATTTTCTCTTTCGATTTCTCCTCTTACAAAATTGGCAAGCTTGCCAACCCTTGTTTCAAGCATTGGGAGTATGCTGAGTAAGGGGATACCACAACTTGGGTTGTAAACAGTTGTGTCTTCGGGGGTGAAGACTAAGAAAAAGGAGGGAGGAATGTGGGGGAAATGAACTGGGTCGTTCATTGGCATCCAGGTAGCTCAATTAGTAGAGCATCCGTCTAGAGTTCGGAGGGTCCTGGGTTCGAATCCCAGTCTGGCCGTAACATTTTCTCTTTCTCCTTATACAAAATATTCCCAAAATACCCAGGAAAAACCATGGTATGATAATTCATTAAGTAGTGAACTGGTTGTATGTTCATTATAATATTTGGTAGTTCCAATAACCATATAGGCTGTTTGACCATTTGACCAATTGTGAAGTTTTTTCATAATCAACTTTGAACAGTTCTCACTTTTGTTTTTTATGATGCATAATTAAAACATTACCAAAAAAGAAAACATGATTCAAATAAAATTGGGACATTATCGTGTATATTGTACTTTTTAATGTCGAATGTGGACCTAAAAAGCATGCATAACTGCAGGTGTAATTCAAATCCTATTCTCCACAGACAGAATGTTTACCTACAAGGGGGCGTGTTATTCATTACATCACGGATCCTGGTGGTTGACCTTCTAACTGACAGAGTTCCGCTGGATCATGTCACTGGAATCCTGGTCTATAAGGCTCACAGGTAGGACACAGTAACAGGAAAATGTCCCTGGAATCTTGGTTTATAAGGCTCACAGGTAGGACACAGAAACGGGAAAATGTAACTGGAATCCTGGTCTATTAGGCTCACAGGTAGGACACAGAAACGGGAAAATGTCACTGGAATCCTGGTCTATTAGGCTCATAGGTAGGACACAGTAACAGGAAAATGTCACTGGAATCCTGGTCTATTAGGCTCACAGGTAGGGCACAGAAATGGGAAAATGTCACTGGAATCATGGTCTATAAGGCTCACAGGTAGGACACAGTAACAGGAAAATGTCACTGGAATCTTGGTTTATAAGGCTCACAGGTAGGACACAGTAACAGGAAAATGTCACGGGAATCCTGGTCTATAAGGCTCACAGGTAGGACACAGTAACAGGAAAATGTCACTGGAATCTTGGTCTATAAGGTTCACAGGTAGGACACATTAACAGGAAAATGTCCCTGGAATCTTGGTTTATAAGGCTCACAGGCAGGACACAGAAACGGGAAAATGTAACTGGAAACCTGGTCTATTAGGCTCAAAGGTAGGACACAGTAACATGAAAATGTCACTGGAATCCTTGTCTATAAGGCTCACAGCTAGGACACAGTAACATGAAAATGTCACTGGAAACCTGGTCTATTAGGCTCGCAGGTAGGACACAGAAACAGGAAAATGTCAAGGGAATCCTGGTCTATTAGGCTCACAGGTAGGACACAGTAACAGGAACATTTCTTACAAATTCTGGTTTGTCAGACCCACATGTAAGACAGCTGGAATATGCCACAGGAATTCTAGTAAATAAGGTCAGATACAGCTGCTGGGAAATGTCTTAGGAAGTCTAATCTATAGACTTACAGCTAAGACAACTGGATGTGACATAAGAATTCTGGTCAATAAGACCCACAGTTTGGAGCACATTACCCTGTCATTACATGGACAAATCCTTGTCTATATATAAAGTCCACAGGTGAGGTACATTCATAAATCCCTCAGTAGGGAAGCTGAGCAATACTAGGAAAATTCATTTTTGAAACCAGAGAATGAAAATGTTTTCGACAAAAACTGTTTACCAGGTAGGTTTTCAGTATTCACTGCATCAACAAAAAATTCAAATTGAAAAACTCAAATTGTTTCGGCCATGAGTATTTATGTTATTGAGTCTTTCCTACTGGTACTTAATTTTATAGAGTATTCATGATGTTTTTCTTATGTTTTACAGAATCAATGAATCTGGTCAGGAGGCTTTCATCTTACGACTGTTTAGACAAAAGAACAAGGTAAATATTTAATGATTTCACATGTATACACAATCTATTGTGTAAAGTTTAAAAGAATTCCCAAAACACAGAAAAAGCTTGGGTTAATCTGTGGTAAAAGTTGTGTTGATCAGCTTTGTGTTTTGTGATTTTACAGAAAGGCTTCATCAAAGCTTTCACAGACAATGCTTGTGCATTCACTGTGGGATTTGCTCATGTGGAAAGGACCATGAAGAATCTGTTTGTCCGCAAACTGTTCCTGTGGCCACGGTTCCATGCCAGTGTGGTAACCTCCCTGGAAAAACACAAGGTATTAGTCTAGATATGTGGAAGTTTGAATAAGCAATTTGTGTATCCCAATGAATACTGAATATCTAGCCCCTGCCTTGAACAAAGTGAGAAATATATAGTATTTGTCTTATGATGTTTGTGTTCGCGGTCTGTCCCAGGTTTTGAAGCACATATTGACTGTTGTTTATCTTTTGACATCATATTTGGTATATAACTAAGTCATGAAAAGGGGTTGTTTCTCATTCCATAATAAGGTCATCATGACCTCTATTGACCTTTGATTACCGATATGATATGTAGGTTTGTGGAGCACATCTTGGCAACGGTTTCTTACCTGGACATCACACTTGGTACAACCTTTGACCTTTACCTCAAATGCTGAAATACAGGTTTTCAATTTATACCTCACCCAAATACTTTGTATGCTTGTACATCATGGTTAACCATTAGTTTGCCTACAGAATTAGGGTCAACACAACCTCTCTTCAATATTGTTTTATAAACAAATGTGGGGTGCACCAGTATCTACAAGCAAAGCCTCCAGATTAAGTTAAATATAGTTTTCGAGGAATTCAGCACTGTGTTACAAATCTCTACTCGTTTTCAAATGATAAGTAGGACAATAATGTCTTCTTTTTTTTTCAAATTTATTTCCTTACTGCTATAGTATTTGCATGACAAAATGCACAGGGTACTAATACAGTTATGGAAACCTGTATTCAGGAGCTGCTTCTCTCCTTTTGTAATTTTATTTGCATGACTACATAAAACCTGACATCTTACACTACTCACATAGGCAGCTCTCTTGATACATATAGCACAAGTAGGTTGGGTTCAATGTCCTGAGTTATTAATAATTATTAATTTGTAATAATCTTTTATACTGGGGACAATAAAACTGCGATGGCATTGGTTTGTTCCAGTTTATATTGTATGAACTATGTTTAAATACCTACAGGTGTGTGACTATGATGTAAATGTTACTTGTATGGTGTCTGTAGCTAAGTATGACAGTTTTGACCTGTTACAGGTGGATGTTGTAGAAATCCATGTCCAAGTGACATCTGCAATGCTGGCTTGTCAGACAGCTTTGCTGGATCTTATTAATGCCTGTATTCAGGAGCTTAAGAGATGTACCACAGCTGTAAGTATACTGCTGATAACATAGACAGTATCTGTTAACAGTTCACTGACACTATACTCCATTGTACCACAGCTGTAAGTATACTGCTGATAACATAGACAGTATCTGTAAACAGTTCACTGACACTATACTCCATTGTACCACAGCTGTAAGTATACTGCTGATAACATACACAGTATCTGTAAACAGTTCACTGACACTATACTCCATTGTACCACAGCTGTAAGTATACTGCTGATAACATACACAGTATCTGTAAACAGTTCACTGACACTATACTCCATTGTACCACAGCTGTAAGTATACTGCTGATAACATACACAGTATCTGTAAACAGTTCACTGACACTATACTCCATTGTACCACAGCTGTAAGTATACTGCTGATAACATAGACAGTATCTGTAAACAGTTCACTGACACTATACTCCATTGTACCACAGCTGTAAGTATACTGCTGATAACATACACAGTATCTGTAAACAGTTCACTGACACTATACTCCATTGTACCACAGCTGTAAGTATACTGCTGATAACATAGACAGTATCTGTTAACAGTTCACTGACACTATACTCCATTGTACCACAGCTGTAAGTATACTGCTGATAACATACACAGTATCTGTAAACAGTTCACTGACACTATACTCCATTGTACCACAGCTGTAAGTATACTGCTGATAACATACACAGTATCTGTAAACAGTTCACTGACACTATACTCCATTGTACCACAGCTGTAAGTATACTGCTGATAACATACACAGTATCTGTTAACAGTTCACTGACACTATACTCCATTGTACCACAGCTGTAAGTATACTGCTGATAACATACACAGTATCTGTAAACAGTTCACTGACACTATACTCCATTGTACCACAGCTGTAAGTATACTGCTGATAACATACACAGTATCTGTAAACAGTTCACTGACACTATACTCCATTGTACCACAGCTGTAAGTATACTGCTGATAACATACACAGTATCTGTAAACAGTTCACTGACACTATACTCCATTGTACCACAGCTGTAAGTATACTGCTGATAACATACACAGTATCTGTAAACAGTTCACTGACACTATACTCCATTGTACCACAGCTGTAAGTATACTGCTGATAACATACACAGTATCTGTAAACAGTTCACTGACACTATACTCCATTGTACCACAGCTGTAAGTATACTGCTGATAACATACACAGTATCTGTAAACAGTTCACTGACACTATACTCCATTGTACCACAGCTGTAAGTATACTGCTGATAACATACACAGTATCTGTAAACAGTTCACTGACACTATACTCCATTGTACCACAGCTGTAAGTATACTGCTGATAACATACACAGTATCTGTAAACAGTTCACTGACACTATACTCCATTGTACCACAGCTGTAAGTATACTGCTGATAACATACACAGTATCTGTAAACAGTTCACTGACACTATACTCCATTGTACCACAGCTGTAAGTATACTGCTGATAACATACACAGTATCTGTAAACAGTTCACTGACACTATACTCCATTGTACCACAGCTGTAAGTATACTGCTGATAACATACACAGTATCTGTAAACAGTTCACTGACACTATACTCCATTGTACCACAGCTGTAAGTATACTGCTGATAACATAGACAGTATCTGTTAACAGTTCACTGACACTATACTCCATTGTACCACAGCTGTAAGTATACTGCTGATAACATACACAGTATCTGTAAACAGTTCACTGACACTATACTCCATTGTACCACAGCTGTAAGTATACTGCTGATAACATACACAGTATCTGTAAACAGTTCACTGACACTATACTCCATTGTACCACAGCTGTAAGTATACTGCTGATAACATACACAGTATCTGTAAACAGTTCACTGACACTATACTCCATTGTACCACAGCTGTAAGTATACTGCTGATAACATAGACAGTATCTGTTAACAGTTCACTGACACTATACTCCATTGTACCACAGCTGTAAGTATACTGCTGATAACATACACAGTATCTGTAAACAGTTCACTGACACTATACTCCATTGTACCACAGCTGTAAGTATACTGCTGATAACATAGACAGTATCTGTTAACAGTTCACTGACACTATACTCCATTGTACCACAGCTGTAAGTATACTGCTGATAACATACACAGTATCTGTAAACAGTTCACTGACACTATACTCCATTGTACCACAGCTGTAAGTATACTGCTGATAACATAGACAGTATCTGTTAACAGTTCACTGACACTATACTCCATTGTACCACAGCTGTAAGTATACTGCTGATAACATACACAGTATCTGTAAACAGTTCACTGACACTATACTCCATTGTACCACAGCTGTAAGCTTACTATACTGCTGATAACATACACAGTATCTGTAAACAGTTCACTGACACTATACTCCATTGTACCACAGCTGTAAGCTTACTATACTGCTGATAACATACACAGTATCTGTAAACAGTTCACTGACACTATACTCCATTGTACCACAGCTGTAAGCTTACTATACTGCTGATAACATACACAGTATCTGTAAACAGTTCACTGACACTATACTCCATTGTACCACAGCTGTAAGCTTACTATACTGCTGATAACAAACACAGTATCTGTAAACAGTTCACTGACACTATACTCCATTGTACCACAGCTGTATTAACAGAAACTCTGTTGTTATCATAGATATGTACAAAACTTGACTGTTATGGATAATGAAGTAATATTTAGTAAATATGTAAAGATTTGTGTGTATGATTCTCTGTACATTTTGCCATACTCAAAAGTAACTTTCCAGACCTTCTGGGCCTCTTGTTTTAGTTTTATCTGACTTGCCTGTGATGTTATATCGAGGGTCAACTCGTAAAGTACCAGCTGACCTCTTCCTACTGTGTGTTACAGATTGATGCTGATGAGATCACCGTGGAGAATTCTATAGGCAGGGCCTTTGATACGATCATCCGAATGCAGCTTGATCCCATATGGCATCAGGTTGGACCCAAAACCAGACAACTTGTGTCAGATCTAAAAACTCTTCGCCTCATTCTCAGGTAATGTTATTGTCTGGGGCCTAGTCCTGTGAACCTGAGTATTACATGTACTGGACTTCAAACAAAGACCAGGGATTATAGTTAAATTTATCCTGTAACTGCTATGTGTTTTGAGAAGTAAAATCATGCCTACAGAGAAAAGTTGCTTTCTTTACTGTATGGATGTTGGGCATCCTCAATACTCAAGGGTTTACACTCACTTTTGCTCTCTTCACCCCTGTACTATGTCGTAGCAAAATTGAAAGCTCAGTGTATGCCACCTTGTGGATGAGACGAGAAGACTAGTTTGATCCTGTGATGTACATCAAAAGAATCTAACAGTAAAATTGACAGGCTTTGAAGTCGGGTGTCGCTCCTTTGTAATCTTCAAAGGACAGGTATCAGACATAGCGTTTGGTCAGTTATTTTTACCTAAACCAGTCAAGTAGCTAGTCGCTTGTCTGTAATTTTGCTATTACATATTCCAGGGTGCAGAGAGCGAAGTGAACGTAACACCTGGATACCGAGGATGAGATTTTGGGGAATATGATTTGTATTCAATCTTGTGAGTTTCTTCTCAAGGTGATCTATCAGGTGTTACTCTCCAGGTTATCCTCTTCATAACATCATGTAACTTCATCAAACAAGCATGGTTGAACCTGAAGTAAAATACAGACAAATGATAAAATATAGTGTTGCCGAATGACTTGAGGTTAAAATAAAACTTTTACCTTTAATTCAAGACCTTTTTGTTCTTGTTCCTTAGGCTTTGGTATTCACTTCTTGTTTTGTTACCAAAGGAATTTATTTTAGACATATATATGCTTCATCAAAACACTGATGTGTATAGGGGAATTGGGGTAATTCTATTACTTTGAAATTGAAAGTTTTTTCTATTTGAAACAAACAGTTACATAGGTCAACACACTTGATAATTTAGAGTTCTAATAACAGCATAGAGCGATAGTTTGTTGGAAAATAATTCAAAATTTACATATTATTGGAAAATTTGTTTATTTGTTACAGGCATTTGACCCAGTACGACTGTGTAACATTTTACAGCATGGTGAATTCGGTCAGGTATAAAACTCATTACAAAACTCAGTAGTGCAAATACTGTGTAACATTTTACAGCATGGTGAATTCGGTCAGGTATAAAACTCATCACAAAACTCAGTAGTGCAAATACTGTGTAATATTTTACAGCATGGTGAATTCAGTCAGGTATAAAACTCATCACAAAACTCAGTAGTGCAAATACTGTGTAACATTTTACAGCATGTTGAATTCGGTCAGGTATAAAACTCATCACAAAACTCAGTAGTGCAAATTATTTTTTGATTGATGGTGTGCCATTAGGTGTGGATTGAAACCCCGGTTTACTTCTACAAAAGCTTGGTCTTGGTATACAAACACAGCATACATCTCTTCCAAATTTCTTCCGAATTTAGAAACTGATCTCCCTTTCAAAGAAGTTCTACATTAATATATTACTGATCTCCTTTTCCGAAAGATTCCATATTTTTTGAACTTGTAAAATATCTTTTTAATTGATGTTGATGGTGATTTGACTAAAATTAAGTATCCATTTGTTTTTAATTTTAAATGTACACAAGAATATAGTAAAAGGTACAGTATTGAAAGGACTATATGTATATGGTTTGGGCCTGTTTTGGCCCCCAAATGCATCAAAATTCAAAACCTTTGAATGCACTTTGAAATGACTGTTTCTTTAATTTCGAATACTTCCCAAATACTATTATGAAAATATTTATTTATATTTCTAATTATTGTTGCCATGGAAACAAGTTCAAATTTGCATAAATTAGAAAAAATTGAATATTCAGTTAATATTGTGATATTTTGCATAGTTTTTCTCCTAGAAACTATAGAGTGCATGCTTGAACAAATTTAATATCAAAGCATAATGTGTAGGCACCTGTAATACATCTTTAGCAGAAATATAAAGTTTGTTCAAGAGTGCGCTCTATGGTAGCTAAGAGAAAAACTAGGTGAAAACCTGTCAAAATTGACTGAAAAATCGAATTTCAATAATTTATGCAAATATGACCTGGTCCTGGTACCATGGCAGTCAAAATTGAAAACACAAATAAATGTTTACATAATAGTACTGGGGAAGTATTCAAAATTAAAGAAAAAATTGTTTGAAAGTTCTATCGCAGATTTTTAATTTTGATGGATTTTGGGGCCAAAAAAGGGCCAAACCATACATAGTCCTTTATTTACATACCCATTTATTGATAAAATAGCAAAAGCATTTACAATATAATATTTAGAGTTATTTCTGTAAGATCCAGAAATTTAAATGTGATGTCTTTGTTCCATCAACAGAAGCAGTGAAAAGACATTTGGACAGAATACTGGCTGGCTGTTTCTGGAGGCTGCGGACAGTCTTTTTGCGGTGAGTTTTCTGGGACTTTGAAAATAAAGTTACATTGATTATTTTGATTAAAATTTCTGCTTGTTCTGAACTTCAATCTGCTACAAGTCTTGCCTATTATGAGGAATCTTATGTGAGAACAGATATTCCACTCCCCAAGATTTTATTTAGGAGGGATATTTACTCGTCCATGTTAAATTTAGGAGGGACTCATGAGAGCTAGTCAGAGTTAGTTGGGATATTTGACTTGTAAATTTGAGTAAGGAGGGACATTGGCTGATCCAAATATAAATTTGAGGTGTACTGGATCTGAATATGAGATAGTAAAGTAAATATATATCTGTCTTGTGCTGGGGTTGGGTTGGGTAGGTTGAGGGTATTCGACTCTTGTGCTGGGGTAGGGGGTGGGTAGGGTGAGGGTATTTGACTCTTGAGATGGGGTTGAGGGATGAGTAGGTTGAGGGTATTTGACTCTTGAGCCAGGGTTGGGGGTGGGTAGGTTGAGGGTATTTGACTCTTGAGCTAGGGTTGGGGGTGGGTAGGTTGAGGGTATTTGACTCTTGACCTGGGGTTGGGGGGTGGGTAGGTCGAGGGTAACTGGACAGTTCAACTTTTGACAAGTTCTATCTTTTTTTTGAGGTTTTGTTTGATTTATCTTTAACCAGTAATACTGTAGATATTTTTTTAATATCAACAGCATGCTCGTGAGAGGATTTATGGCCAAACAGAGAAAAAACAAAAGGGTGAAGAAACAAAAGGTAAATTAACAGCGAACCAGGGTTAGATGACGTGATGGTTAGATCATTTGAGTGTTTGGACCTTGGTGTGCAGATTGACACAGATTGTGCTTTCCAGTAATAAAAATTAATCAGACCTCCTTTTAGTCTTTTGAAACATTGTAAAAGTTGTTTATTTGAGGGCAACTCTTTGGGGAAAATTTGATTTGTTTGAGTCACTTAAATATTTTATTTAATGTCTGCAAAATTAATATCTTAAATTTCATGAAAAAAATTCTCACATGAGTATTCTTTAATCAGTGTATTTGAAATGTGAAAGATAGGACAGCATGTATATATTGTCTGGTTGATATTTCTTAATAATTATTTACCTCACAAATGAGCAGGAAAATTTTGCCTAGGTCGTGAAATGGAAGTGATTTACAGAATATGAAATTTTAAATAATGAACAGATGAGTCAGAAAATCCAACATCCATGATCGGTATGACTTGTCTTGGAACAGTCCAATGTAGTTTTCCCCTTCAATATGTCCTTTACAGCTGAGACGGAGCCTGTCTTTGAGCTCTGTCCTAAGTGGAAGGTGCTGTCCGATATTCTGAAGGAGATTCGTGAGGATAACAGCCAACTTGGGGCTGACCAGGACCCTGGCCGAGTTCTCATTGCAGCTGAGGATGACCGCACCTGTAGTCAGCTCAGAGAGGTGAGAGGTAGTCAGCTTTTATAATCAATCAGTACAAAATACAGACAGTGGAATGTGAAATTTTCAATTTTTTAATTAAAAAAATTGTAGGCAAGCACTGTAGGAGAGTACATGTGTAGTCATGCATATGTTATAGAGGTCAGTTTAAAGAGGTAAACATGTTTAAGTATATATTAGCTCCTTCATTATCTCCGTGAGGGGAAAATATAAGCTGACTGTATATTTTCTCTTTCAGTATCTCTGTGAGGGAGGACAGAGCATGGTGATACGTTTGTTCAATAAGTCGGTAGCTATCAGAGGTCAGCAGTTGGAGGATACATCAGTGAGTGTCAAATTTGTCAAGCTCATATAGAATATTGGCATTATTTGAAATAATTTCAGTTGTCATCCAAAACCCTATATTTCAGACTATATCTCATAATGTTATTGTGTAGTTATATTGAATTGTGAGTTTTATTCACCAGGTAACTTGATTTTGTATGATTGTAGAAGAAAGCCAAGTTTGATCGATTTGCCAAAGCACAAGGGAAGAAGCAGGAAAAGGCCAAGCCTAGCACAAATGATGCTGCCCTCACACTGACACAAATGTTACAGAAGGAGGACATGGATGTAGACCTGGTAAAACACAGCTTAGTGTTTGTTTGAGGTTTCACTTCTTTACAATCAATATTTAGCTGCAGTCGAACCTCATTAATGTATATAGCTGCTAATTTTCAGTTGTTTCACTATCTAAACCCGTCAATCCAGCAACCGCTAATCCAGTTGTCCCACTATCAACTTGTCCCAATATGCAGCCTTACATAGTAGAGTATCAAATACTGAAATCAAGCACACATTGTCCATCTTGTCAGATTTGTTCCTTTACTTTCTATCTTGTGCATATAAATGTAGTCAGAAACTTAAAAAATTGTAAAAATTTCATTCACTATGTCAAAAATTAGACAAGTTAAATGGGATGGACTATATAAAGAAGTACATATGTATATTAAATCACACCATGTTGAATAAGCGGCTTTAAGATTGTTGGGGCTATGTTGTGTTAACTTGGCTGGAAATGTTCACTGTAGTGTTGAATTTGATGATTCATCTAACTGTAAAAAATAACAAAAAATATTATCTCTGTGAAAATAATGCAGATTTAATAGATTTTCTCCAGTATGTAGAGAAGTGAACGCTTTTCAAAAATGAGGTTAACTTGTTTTACGTTCCATCAGGATGCTGACAGCATGCCTCCCGGCCCTTCCTGTACTTCCAAGGATGCGTACTACGGGTTAATTAAGGAGCCAGTGACAGTGATCCACCCCCTCCATGGCGGCTCTGACCATAAAGGACTAACACGCACCTTACAGGAGATCCAGCCCAGATATGTTATACTCTATGATGCAGACATGCAGTTTGTACGAGAGCTTGAGGTATGGAGCTCACTGTTAATCCTGTTTTGACAAACTGTTCTGATGTTATAGTTAAATTGCCACCATCTTTGAGAAACCGTTCAAGTGAATCACTTTAGACTGGTGTATTGAGATGTATATTGTGGAAATTTTTCTGTGCAATAGATTGATCATATTTTATTCTGGCATCTTCACTGAACAGGTGTTCCGGGCGAGCCAGCCAGGAGTTCCTCTCCGTGTGTACTTTCTGATGTATACAGGGTCTGTGGAGGAGCAGCGCTACCTCACCACACTGAGGAAGGAAAAGGAGGCTTTTGAATTCCTCATCAGGGAAAAAGCAGTGAGTACTTCCAAAACCTAGTGGGTCATAAAGTCAGAGATAATGTCCTAGTGACTATTAGAATCAGACCTTTTATAATAAATTTGATATATGCTACAACATTCATGAAACAAATTCTATCAATTTTATTAATCATTCCATATTTTTCAGGTGAAAGCATGCATGTGATTTTAATATGGGGAAACTGCAGTAACTGCAGGAAACCCACATATTCAGGCAGTTGACCCAATGCATTTTAACATCCTATTAGAACTTATATTAGTATCCAAATCTAGTGAACATAATGTTGGAGCTTGTGCTAGTCTACATTGTTTAGTCACCCCAATGGTCTCCAAGCCTAGCTGTCCATATTGTTGGATAATAAACAAAACTCTAGTTTCAGTTATCTGTAGAGTTTTGAGCATTTTCTGTTATGTTAGATGACCGAAATGACCAGTCAAGCCTCACCAACCCTTTGCCATCATTCTTAGCTATGCAGGACTGAAAAAGCAAAACAGCTGAATTACTAGAATGATTTTGAATAGAAAAGACACATCTGTCCCTAACACACTGTCAAACTACTGGAACAATCTGGTCATAGCTCGCGATGGTTTTTTTCGCAGCAAATATAAGAAAAATAGATATTAGATTAGAACTTAAATATTTTAATGATGTAAAAGTTACATTCTACATTTATTGTACTGTTCTTCCAGCAGACCTAGCTGATCCTCATCCACAATACCAAATTCAAAGCTGAAAAATAAAACACAACTTATAAAATTAATTCATAATAATATATATGATACTGTGTTTTCACAGGCATTTTTAGGTTTAAAGTTCAGTAAACAACGGTCTTTATATAAACATTTGTAAAAACAGTTCTAGTACGTATATAAACAACTCACAACTTACCTGTTGGTGAGAAATAGAAACAGGAAATAGATCGTTTTTCTTATGAAGAAGGATGAAAAAATCAAGAGAATTCCGAGTGACTTGGGTAACTTCTAATATACGCACAGATTCCTGGTGAAAACGGGTGGAATTGACGAAATCAGGGTCAAAATCGTGTGAAGTTATAAAAGCAAGTGAAGGGCTAAAATCCCAGGTGTAACCCGACGAAATGGGTCACTTGGCGGGTATGATGGTGAAGTCATTTCATTCTTGTTGAAGTGGTTAATATAACAATCTGAATATAACATGATATTTGTTTCCAGACCATGGTTATACCAGAAGAGCAGGATGGGAAATTGGAGGATGATCCAAACCTATCAAGGGACATAACTCCTGCTAATGCCACTGTCAACACTCGGAAGGGTGGATCTGTGCCATCAAATGTACAACAGAAGGTTAGTTGATTCATTGTGTGCAACTAACAAACTGATTAAAGTTAAAACTAGTGTAAAGACGATCCAAAACAGCCTGTGTTATTGGCAGAATTGCGTTTGATGAGGACCGTCACTCAAGCTAAAAATATATAAAAGTTTTACAGAAAATATGGTGACTGAAGATATTATGGCTATTCTTATATTACGTCTTCCTCATCTAGAAATGCTTGTGTTTAAACCTATTTTCCTGGAAACAGGAGTGCCATGTCTAATGATACTATGCGCTATACAAAGGTTTTTAAGTCTAGATTGATCATGTATAACCCTAAACCTGAGTATTCTGAACAGACTCATTAGTTCTAGTGTTCAGTTTAGACAGGTGTCACAGTATTGAACTATCTTGACAGGTAATTGTGGACATGAGAGAATTCCGTAGTGAGCTGCCGTCGCTGATTCACAGACGAGGTATCGACATTGAACCTGTAACAATTGAGGTAAGTAGTACTGTGGATTGTTATATTCTTACCCCATAAAGGTTTGCCCTCCAGCTGTTATTTACACATGTACTTAATGGTATTGAGGTAAGTAGTACTGTGGATTGTTATATTCTTACCCCATAAAGGTTTGCCCTCCAGCTGTTATTTACACATGTACTTAATGGTATTGCAAAGTATGTGATATTATTCACCTTCTTGTTTTATGTTAAAAATATGAAAGGGTCAGACATTTTCTGTTTTACAATAGTCTTGATATAGATTATTAAAGAATACATATGTGTCACCCTGGTAAAATGCAAGCTGCTTCCTACTGACTCAGCAAGAGAGAATTTCTCTTCAGCTCATTCCATAGAACGTAAGACTAGTAAGCCAGAGGTCCTGGATTCGACTCCTAGTGGAGGCATTGAAAAAATAATGACCTCCGTTACATTGGCGCCCGCGTAGGGACCCGGTTGATATGACAAAAATACTCGATACTTGCAAAGGAATCGCTATGACCCCTGAAAACTTGGGACGAGTTCTTTCTTGGAGAGGGAGTATGTCACCCTGGTAAAATACTAGCCGGTTCCTACCGACTTGGCTAGAGAGAATTTTCTTCAGCTCATTCGGTAAATCGTTGTTGATTGGTTGATGTATCAACAAACAGTATGTGATAAACTGGTTACTTAGGCAGAATGACCATTCACAGTAAAAGATCTTCTTTTTACAGAAAGTCAATGACAAATGGCAACTTATAGAAACTGAAATACCTAAAAGCCCTTCAGATTGACCTTGACTTGACTTGTGGTTTTAGGTTGGTGACTATATTCTTACACCAGATATCTGTGTGGAGCGAAAGAGTGTCAGCGATCTGATTGGATCGCTCAGTTCTGGACGACTGTTCAACCAATGTGTATCAATGTCCCGACACTACAAGAGACCCGTCCTACTGATTGAGTTTGATCCCAACAAATCCTTCTCTCTCCAGGTAAGAATACTCACTTACACAGAAACCTGTCTAAACCAAACACTACAGGGATGAATGGCTTTGTTTGGAATAGACAGTTTTCTGATATCACAGTTTCAATATTTTACTCTTTTACATTAAAAAACAGATGTTTGTTAAGAACTCCTGATTAAACATTTTCATTTTAAAGTAACACTGGATTGAAAGTTTGTTCATACATGTTTTAGGGTTAGGAGTTATTCCACAGGGTATAGGACTTCAACAATAATGTGGGGAAAGATAATTGTTTATTTTAATTACTATAAAAAAAAATTAGGATTGAATTTTATGAAGTGTTGTTAAAAGTGAATATCCCTTACCAAAAGTTTTTTTCCTGACTTTAAATACATGATTGGTTGACTTATAATGTTAATTATTGTAAATCATTAAACAGTAGAATTGAATATTTTCTTTATTTTCTGTTCTTACATCAACATTACATTCCAAAGTATATTAACTTATGTACATATATATTCATAGCCTTGATACCACACATCATTGACACTGTATAAAACAGACTGTGTATTAACAAGTTAAATATTTTGGTACCAGTCATAGCTGGTTTAGACAGATTACGCTTTTGTATTAAAGTCAGAATCGACTAAGAAATCAATTCAAATAAAAGTTAGTGATTTTTGCAAGTAAGAGGTCTGCCGTAAAAAATTGATTTAAAAAATTGAAAGCAGTCCTTTTCTTATCTGTAAAAGAGGTTTTAAAACAAAACTTTTAATACATTATAAAATATAATTCATGCTTGTTACAAATGTTTTAGAAAATTGAAACATGTCTTTTACAGGGAAAGTACCAGATTTCAAATGATGTTTCAATACATGACACTATCTCCCGTCTGGCCTTACTGACGTTACATTTCTCCAAGCTCCGTATCCTATGGTGTCGGAGTCCGTACGCCACAGCCGAAATCTTTCAGGAACTCAAGGTACAGAGTATTGATATATTCCTGTCTTACCAGGCATTTATCATGCTGATCAGCAACATTCTTCTTTAAATTAGAGATTTTTTTAGCAAAAAGTGTGTATTGTCTATTATAAAATTTATTTTGAATAAAATACTGTATAAACTATACATATTAACTTTGTGAAATATCTGAAATGTATGTCACATAAAATATTTCTGTATAGATGGGACGTCCTCAACCAGATGCAGTCACTGCAATGGCTATTGGGTCTACAGAGGACGGAGAGGAGTGGTCTGATCAATACAGCCACGGCCCTCAGGTAAGATAGGAAACCTCATTGGTTGATGTATTAACAAGGAGTGGTCTGTAAAAAGAAATATGTACCTCCGGTCACATCTGAAATGTCATTGGCTATCAGCTTGGTGCCTAATCAAAGAATATGGTTCAGGAGGAGGGTTATACAGCCAGGCACGTGGCGCGGCCCTTGCTGACCTGTCAGTGTTCTATTTAGCATGAAGGTGCCTTTGGGACCAAACATTGATCTTTTTGCCTGTTTTAAACTTGACTATTTAAACGTAAATTACCAGGATAAAGTTTAGTGCAAAGTGGTGCATAATATTATCAAGTGTTTCCATACAAAATATCCTAATTTGTTCTGACGAAGTGATTTACCATATTATGGGGGGTATCATTTTAGTTATTGTAACAATCTTTTCCCTTATTGCAGGATTTTCTGCTGAGAATGCCTGGTGTTAATGTGAAGAACTATCGTCTCATCATGAAAAAAGTTCACAATCTTGCAGAGTTACCTACCCTGTCAGAAGAGAAATTGACAGAAATATTAGGAAATTCATCTAATGCAAAAACTCTTCATAAGTTTCTCCACTCTGAGCACAAGAAAGGAGAAGTATCTGAGAAACTGAATAAACCATCTAAAACAGATTTCAGACGAGGATTCAAGCGGAAAAAATGATCTGATCAAATTATTGTTGTAGTTTCAGGGAATTTTCACACGTGGCCATTTAATATACAGAACTAGAATCCATCCACTCTTTAACCCTTTCACCACTGTAGACCATAATGGACTGATCCCAATAAATGCATGGTAGAGTCCACTAAAGTTACCTAGGGGTGAAAGGGTTAACATAAATGATATTTTGGTTGATATTTCGATTAATAGCCGAGATTCAGACTAGTTGACGTGTATAGCTGTTTATCATTATTGTTATATGTACATCTATTTATTATTGTATAATACTGCAGTTGTATTGCACTCAATCTTACCTCAGGAATTCACTCTAAATCAACTAAGAATAAGTGTAACACTGTAAATACACATGAGAATCTATTTTTCTGGAATTGCTATACCTTTGATAAATAATTTCTAATAAAAAACAATACCTTGCAGGACTTTTGTAAAAAATATTAAAGGTGAATTAAACAATATACAATGAACAACAGTGTTCTGAATGTAAAAATTCATTAGGGCTAGACCAAGATTCAAACCCTGGATCTCAAATTGTTAAACTGCTCTCTAACCAATTTAACTATCAGTGTCCTGGCACAACTGTCCTACAATTACATCAAATAGAAGTTAAGGGGAGGTTACTGTATATAGGAAAACCACAGTGCAATGAGACAGGGAAGGAAGTTAAGGGGAGGTTACTGTATATAGGAAAAACCACAGTGCAGTGAGACAGGGAAGGAAGTTAAGGGGAGGTTACTGTATATCGGAAAAACCACAGTGCAGTGAGACAGGGAAGGAAGTTAAGGGGTGGTTACTATATATAGGAAAAACCACAGTGCAGTAAGACAGGGAAGGAAGTTAAGGGGAGGTTACTGTATATAGGAAAAACCACAGTGCAGTGAGACAGGGAAGGAAGGTAAGGGGAGGTTACTGTATAAAGGAAAAATCACAGTGCAGTGAGACAGGGAAGGAAGTTAAGGGGAGGTTACTGTATAAAGGAAAAATCACAGTGCAGTGAGACAGGGAAGGAAGTTAAGGGAAGGTTACTGTATATAGGAAAAACCACAGTGCAGTGAGACAGGGAAGGAAGTTAAGGGGTGGTTACTATATATAGGAAAAACCACAGTGCAGTGAGACAGGGAAGGAAGTTAAGGGGAGGTTACTGTATATAGGAAAAACCACAGTGCAGTGAGACAGGGAAGGAATTAAGGGGAGGTTTCTGTATATAGGAAAAACCACAGTGCAGTGAGATAGGGAAGGAAGTTAAGGGGAGGTTACTGTATATAGGAAAAATCACAGTGCAGTGAGACAGGGAAGGAAGTTAAGGGAAGGTTACTGTATATAGGAAAAACCACAGTGCAGTGAGACAAGAGTCCTTAAGGATGACAAAAATATATTTATATATGTTCAACACAATCAGGAAAGTGTGACAAACACAATTAGTATACTATTTTTTGAGGTCAAATTTAGGTGCTTTCTCTGTGAGCAAATTTGCAGGGTTTAAACTTCATGTAACCATTTATATCTAGTGTAGGGAAAAGGTTTGACAGGGTTTGTGAAATCTGACCTATGTGAGATGAACACTAAAGTATTAGGACAGACTTGATTAAAACTTCTTTAATACACTTCTGATAGATTAAATTCTAACCGCCTACAAGCAATTATTTAAGTATTATTTTGAGAAACCAAACTGTTTTCAAAACTCCACGGCTGTTTCACTCTTCTGAGGAAGAGCTGTGAATGGTATTTATTGCCACTGACCTGTACTGGTATTTGATTTTCACTTCAGTAATGTTGTGTGATTTGTATAAATATGAATACATGCATGTTAAATTTTGTAAGAAAACATTGATGGTAACATTTTTGAATGTAAAAGAGAATAAAATTTCATTTGAATCTCGGCTATTAAGAGATTTAACCTCAACATTGGTTTATAATGCTAAAAATGTCTACTTATTTACGTACAATATTATGAATTTACATAATTAAATATAATTTATTTTTTTGGTGAAATTAAAACAATTAATTTATTATATTATTCAGTCAAGTGTTGTCTTTTTGCAATAAGTGGTTTGCACATTTAATTGAAAAAAATCATTGGAAGGAGCCCAATTATCCCAAACCATCACAGGCAGATGCAGAAATTTCAGTAGACACCAGGAAATGTGTAGAGGCCCTTTACAATGGGAAGGAGAAGGGAGACATTCAATAATTTCATTGACAAGGTCCTAGAAAGCACACCGGTTGGTAACTACATTGTGAATATGAAAATAACAGGTACTTGTGCAGTGATCAATCTACAGTTAGTGTGTATGGGTCTTTTTCAACTGTATGGTTAAAAGATAGAAGTCCAACCATGCTACATTTCAGTATTTTCAGAAAATTCAATTGGTCAAAAAAAAATTCTATGGGTACAGGACACAGGACTGCATGTAGATTTATCACAGCTTGGGTGTTATCAATGGTTTATATAGCAGGGTTAAGATGACTGGGAGTATAGAGAACAAAGGGAAATCAAACTGACACCAGCATAAAATCCAATCCATAAGGGCTGGGATAAATCGACAGTCAATTCAGAGCATTGAATGGGGATGAGAGGGCTGGGCTCTGTAAGTTAACAATCACAGGAAAGTTCAGAGAATATGAACAGCTGGACGACATAGTAAGGAAACGAGCAATGTTTGTAGCCATCCCACAAGTTTACCAAACTAACACTTCAGGACACAAAGCCTCAAGTATTACAAGCCTCTAGAGAAGCTCTACAGAAACATCTAGTTGTGCAAAACTATGTTGAACAACAGTGAAGACCAGAGAAGTCGATGGACTCCAAGAAACCATTATCGAAAGAATTTCTATATATATGTAGCATCCCCTACAAAGTACTCAAGAAGTGTCCAAACGTCCCAAAACCTCTGTAGAAATTGATGATAAGTTATTTGGAGGAAAAGAAGATCATAATGGCAAAAGAAGGATGTATCGGATGTGAAAAGAACATCTTCTCAGTACTAGCCAGGAAGACGACAGCATAAAAAAACAGTATGTTGACACCCAAATCTAGAAGTTCAGATGCCTGGATTCTCGGGATGCATGGAATAGACCAGCGTCATTATTAACGTCACCCATGAAGCCCAATTCAACAGAAAGAATCTGTAAGTAGTATGATTTGATTTGACTAATGCATTCAGAAATATGCTCAGTGAGGAGGTATTTATCAGAAGATATGTAGTTCGCCAACAACAATTCCATCACATCTTCGTAAAAACAACCAACTCCATTTTGCTTTTTTCGTGGGTTACGTTATATACATGATCATGCTGACAGAAACGGAATCCAGAGGACCAAAGACAACTAAGTAGCTAAAACAGACATTCAACAAGGGACTTCATCAATGACAACCATGTTCTGTGAATCCCTTATCGTCAAACCCCCTAGTCACATAGCAGTTCCAATATGTAGGCCAGGTAGTGAGTATCCCAACCATCGTTGGAAACCAATGAAATGTTCAGGAAAGTAGTTTGATGAGAGACTGGAAGACAAGACAAACATAACAACACAGTAGAAGGGAAGCAGCATTAACAAACAATAACACTGGAAGAGGTTTGGAGTAACTACAAGGGTTCTACAGGAGAACAGCCTAGCTGTAGATTTCCCTATACCACCTTGAAATTTTGACAAGGTGCAACTATCTGTAGTAGCAGTAAGGACAGGTCGAAACTGGTCACCATTCAAAGCAGTTAACGATGCTTTAACCAGATTACGACATTAGGACCTTGTGAAAACGGAAGCTATTGGACAGCACGGCAGAGATTATTCCAGAAAGAAATTAAATCTAAAGAGAACAGCTATTCGAGGTTGGATGCAGACCAGTGATCGCTTTACGTAGGTAAAGTACCCATAGTTTTCAACTCGGCTCCTTCTCTAATCTGCCCAGGTTAACATTTGAAGTACCAATAATTCCTACTCTATATGATTACTACTTTACTTCTTACACCAGCAAACCTGCGCAGAGAATATCAGGAAATCTTTTAGAGACATCTGATTTTCCCCTCTGTTAGAAAAATGGAACATTAGCAAACGCCAAATCATATTGTTCTTTTCGGGCGAGCTATACATGGCTGTATTACGGGAGTTGACAGACTTAGTCGAGAAAGAACTGAGAAATGGTGATAGCATCCAAAGTGGAAGCAACACAAATCCAATATCTGTGGAAGACCAGATTGCAGGCAAGAGAGCACAAGACCTCCGGTATAACTGTATCCTATACTTGTGGTGACTGTTCTCTGCAACAGGACGATGCAGATAAACAGCAATCGAGAGACGGGCACACGCAGCAGAGTGAGCATCATACTTAGTGGATGAAAAACAGTAGCTGGAGAGCTCCCGCTGACACTTAGTGATCTATCATATCTAAGGAGACCCATCCTGTAAGTATACGGAGCGAAGGGACGAAACAATGATAGATGGTCTCGGTTGAGGACGTTAGCGGAGAAGCAGCATCAACAGCGCCGCTGTAAGTAGCAACTATTTCTCGTGTTTTATTACTAAGTACAGCTGAGTGTGTACTCAATGCGATGCGGTTGTCACCAACAAAAACCCTAACAAAAAGTTTTTGATCAACGTAAAGCTTATATAATTGACAGATACATTCCTATTTATAGGTTTTCTTGATATCTGTGTTACGTTCAACAAACTCATTTCTGTTGACAACAAGATAGTTGTGTCTGCGTTTGTCTGTTTTTGACCGGGTACAGTGTGCGCTTGCTCAGCCATCTGTTCAGTCGCTGCATTTGGTTAAAAATAGTCTGATCATCATCCGTTACGGGTTGTATCCAATATTGGAAGCTCCCCAGTACGGTGCAGGCAATCACAAGTATTGTGGTAGTCTGCTCCACACAGTCTTATCATATCGGGGAACACTATTGGTAGGTATATACCCTACTTAACTTGGTTTATGAATGTCCCCTACCCACTGTTGTGTTGGGGGGAATTATTTCTGATGGTAAATTCGATCAATTCTGTTAAGCTGCTGGTCGTACGGTATCATTGTGAATGAAACGTGTCCTTACACTGCTTCTATCCGGTTTAAACTGGATCCCACAGAACACGCAGGACAAACTCATGGATTCATCTAGATTTCTCTGCCTAATGTGCTGTTTGCAGCTGAGAGTACTATTGACTACCTTCCAATTATGAAGTAGTTTCCACTTTCTCCAGATCTTGCCAATATATGGCACATTTGCCCTGAAATGGCAGCTTCTGGCTCGTTATCTGATTGTCTGTGGATGAAATTCCATTGATCAGTATCCCTCTGTTGAAGTTTCTCTAAACCATCTTGAAGCTTGTTTCAGTCCCTGACTGGCAAGATTCGCGTATTAAGTTACAGTCGTCCGCGAATAGCTTCACTTTAGATCGGACAGATATGTAGACCTGTAAGTCGATAATTAAAACTAGGAACAGCAATGGCCCTAACACGCTGCCCTGGTGTACGCCAGATTCTACCACGAGTCCACGAGTATCAGGTCCACTTTCTCTTTGTTGACTATTTCCCCCCAAATCGTGAAGTGTGGTAATAAGGTGGGTCTCGCATAATCGGGTTTGTCCGAGTTCATGCTGTGTCCAGATGTTTTACGCTGCTACTGGTGATTTAGTCCTAGACAACCTACGTGAAAGACATTGATCTGCAGTTTTGTTGCA